TGAATTGCTTCTTCTGTTGAGTTTTTAGGTTGACCAGCAAAGTTTGGGCTCTTGAGTATCTCTTTTTCTTTTATAATACTAAACATTCTTTTTGCTACCATTTTGGTTAAGCATTTTCTAAATGTTCTAATAGTGCAATTGGTCTAATATTACAAAGCTTATAACATCAATCTTCATTCTTTAGAATTAGATATATTTGTACTAGCTTCTACTTGTGTGATATTCTTTTTAGTCTCAAACACATATCTGCAACTTTTTTAAAGATTTCTTGTGTTTTATCACTTACACTCTTGATTAGTTTGTACCCAATATTTGACATACCTGATGCTGTTTTATTTTTTGTTTTTCTTATTGCTTCTATCCACTTTTCAATTGTTATTTTTGCCTTTAGCCTCTTATATCACTCTTCTTTGACTTCTGCAAATAGCTTATAAAATTTCTCTATTACTTCTTTATCTTTAATTATGTCCCTCTATTTGAACTGCTCATTAAAATGTTCTCTCATCTGCTCTAGTACTGCATTTGGTTCACTGATTAATAAGCATCTATCTTCTTATTATTTTAATATTTGATCGATTTTGATTTTGTTATATAATTTGTCTAGAATACTAGCAAGCATCCTTTCTACTTCTCTGTTAATTCTCTTGCATCTTCTATCTACTGCAATATTGATTTCATTTCTTATACACTTGTCTTCTTCTACTTTCTCTGCTACTCTTAATGCCTGCTACTGCTTTTTTGTTAACTGCCACTATTCTTCAAGGCCTGCTGTTTTGTCTTTTTCTATGTAACCTATTTCTAGACTATATTTTATATTTATCTTATCTACCTCTATGTTAACTTTCTCTAAATTTAGTTTAGTTCCTTCTCCCTTAACCAACTTCTTAGTCTTCTGCAGTAGCTTACTAAGTGCTACTATTCTTTTATATAGCATTGTTGCTTTCTTCTTTCTTCCAATATTACTATTTCTTTGAATAATCTTCTTTTTTGATATGTTTCTATTTGCTCTATCTTTTATTATATAGGATATTATATCCTACACTTTGTCTATATCACTGCTATATTCAACTTCTTCAAATACTTTGAGTCTCTTATTCTTTAATAAATAACTTTTAAGATCTACTTGATAATCTTCTCAGTTTTCTTTTGTCATCTTATTATACAAATAAATTGTTCTTGTTAATTTTTTTTTCATTTTTGTTACATTATGTGTTTGATGTTATAAATTTTGTATTAGTTATTTCTGTCTATTTTAATTCTAGTTGTAAATCTTCTAAAACCCATATTTAGTCAATTCTTGTTTGTATGTCTTGTCCTGTCCATATATAACTTCTTAATTCTAGGTTATAAATTCTGTATATATCACCAAATTCTTGTCTTATTAGCTATTTATGTAGTAGCAGTGATTTGCTATAATTATTTTCACTACTACTTATCTTATCTAATTTGCTATTTACTATATGATTGAAGTTATCTATTACTATAAACTGCATGTTGCTTGCTCTCTTCATATACATATTTACTATTTTTTGTTGCAATTTTTTTGTTCTTTTTTTGTTATTTGGAGAAATGTATACTGCTATTATTACTATTTTTACTTACTTAAAGTAGAACTTTGTTCCAATTAAATATTCTTCAAATTTACATATTTCTTTTATATGTTTTTTTTTATTTTTGACTTACTAATAACCCAACACCTGATCTTTTCTTCTTTGTACTTTCACTTTGTGACCAAAAACTTTTGTAACAATTGTCTTCCAAACTGTATTTTAGTTCTTTACTACTATTATTTGTTTTTACTAATCTCAGAATATCAACTTCTTCTTCTTTTGCCTATTTAATTATTGTTCTTAGCTTGATCTTGTTATGTTTAATTCTATTTATGTTATGACATGCTATCTTAATGCTTGTTATATCATTTCTACCTTTGTCATATTTACTTACACTATATATGAACTTTTCACTAATGCTCTCTGCTTCTACATTTGACAAAGTAGTTACTTTCTCTTGAAGAACACCTATGATAACTTTTAGAAGTAATTTGGAAACAAGCTTTCTAATTGTCTTTCTTCAATATCATTTAGTTTTCTTAATATTTTGCTAAGAATATCTTGTAGCTTGCTTTTTAACTCTTTTGTATAAACTGCTTTTGTTTGTATATTATACTTCCAACTAACTTACTTATCTCTTCTCTGCTGGTTCTCTTTATTACTCTCTTTTTTTTTTATGATTTCTTGACTTTTCATGTGTCTTCCATACTGTGAACTTCTATTTATACAGTATTCTTTTACATCTCTGTTCTCTTTTTTTTTGGTTTCACTGTTCTTGAATGCCTATTTATTGCATTACTCTAACCTCGTGTTGTAATAGTATAGCTTCTTATTAGTAGCTATTCTTAAGACTTTTTCTGTTTTAAAGTAAACTGATGCAGTTTCTGTTGATGTTTATTTCTGTTTACTAAAATATAGACTGCTTTTGTCTTTACTACTTTTAGTTGTCTTAATAATAGTACTTCTATTGTCATTATTAGAATATTTTTAATTATTGTCTTATATAATGTTCTATTTTCTAAAATCTTTTTTGCAAAGATATCTGGAGTAACTCTGTACATTTTATTTTCTTTAAAATGCACTGACCATGTCTGATCAAATATTATTTTTCTGTTTTCATTTCTAAACTCAACAACAAATATTGCTGCTTTACTATTACTACAACTTTTCTATTAAATAAACCTAATTCTATCATAAAACTGAAGACATTTTTTTATACATGCTGGTTTCATTTCTACTGAAATGTCCTACATTGTATAGACATTATCTTCTAATTTACTATTTTTATATATTTTTATTATCTTATTTGAATGACTTCATTCTTTTGTTTGTTCTTTCTGCATTTGTTTACTGTCTATAGTTACTTCAAGTTTTCTTTTTTTTTTATGATTAACTTCTTTTTTGTCTGTTTTATACTTCTCACTTATCTTTATATTACTAGCTGTGTTCTTTTGCTGATTATTTTCTTCTATTTTACTTTCTTTCTCTTCTTTATTTTTCTTTATTGAACTCTTCTCTGTTTGCTTTTCTAACATACCATAATCTATACATTCACACTCTTGTTTTAACAAAATCTCTTTATTTATTTTGTTTTTATTTAATTGCTCTACACTATTTTTTTTTGGTTTCTTATTGTCTCTTACTCATATATACTCATAGTAATTATATACTTCAATTAAGTTTCTAAACATACAGACTAATACTACTTCAGTTCAACTAGTCTGGCTAATTCTTCATCTTTTTTTAAAACTCTTGATTTATGACTGTCTAATAATTCTCTTTGTATTCTGTCAAATTTATTAAACATATCACAATACTTTTCTAATTTTTTGCACCAGTTGATTTCTGTAAATACTAGTTAAACTTTTTGTGTCAAACTTCTTTACATAATTTCTATTTCTTTAATAAAAATTTATTATAATAATTTTTTATAATAATTATTTAATAAAATATGTTTTTATTAACTAAATCTTTTTTTTAAAAACTTAATGTTTAATTATCTATTCTTTGCTTTTCTTGTATATTTATTTTTATCTTTTTGAAAATAAAAATTAAAAAAATTTTTACTAAAAAATATTTTTAAATAAATAAATTATATTTTTTTCTATACAATATAACAATAAACAAAAGAATATTAATTCTAAATACTATATTAAAAAACTTATTATCAAAAAAAAAATGTAACAAAAAAATATTATTATATCACATCAAAAAAAATTAGTTATAAATATATATATCTAATATAAAAAAATTAGAATGCCAAATATAATATTTGTTTTAATATAACTTTTATATGTATTTACAAAAACTAATATAAAAAAAGTAATATGTATATTTTTTAATAAAAGTCAGTGAATAATTATTTATTGCAGTTATCATTGTTCAGGAAATACTAAACATGAGAACTTTGAAATATTGAATCTTAAGAAAGACATTTACATAGCATAATTATTTACAAGATCAACGAGACATCTTTCATATCAATTACACACAATAGGCAGGCATAATCGACGAATAATCGATGAATATTCACTAGGCAAACGATTTAATTTTGGCAGCAGTAGGGTAGTACGCACAAGTCAAATACTTACCTGTGCATAAAATCCATATTGTGGCAGAAGCGATCCGGACTACGGTACTAACTGGGGCTAGTCAATTTCATCACGCCAATTATTCTATCAGGAATTGGTGCGAAATTGTCGGACTAGCACCAGCAATACCTAGTATTACTTACCTTAATTATAACGAATGAGAATCACCATGATAACCGTCTTTCCACCTATATGTAATAAAGTTTGGTTAAATACATTGACGATGCTTTGGTGTGCATCAATATATAATTTCGCTAATGTCTTAAATGTTTTAGCGACAAAGCCTCGATTGTTCATCAGTTTTTTTCCACTACCCATGTTATGCTGAAGAGCAAAAAACAATTTGTACAAAAGAATAAAACTAAAATGTTCACTAAGGCAAAAAAAAAAAAAAGAAGACAATATCCAGTTGAATCCAATAAATGTGGTAGATAATACTCTATATAGATCTGATATATATAAACAAACGAATCTTTTTTTTGTTGCAAAACAGTAATAATACCCCTTGCGAAATAACATTTTATCAATCAATTCGCTATTCAAAAATTTCTTACACGACTCATTAACAAATTAACTATCCAAATCATTCCACAAGAATGAATATAAAGTCCACAAAATAAAATATTCCACCAGTATAACTTCATATTCATTCATATGTATTATATCAGTAATACAAACGTCCTTCATGAATATATTTAACTGGAAATTATGATATATAAGTTTTTCCTATTCATTTTTTCTTGCGGAGTTTAATTTTGCAAAGTTTCTTTTCCAATAATTTTTTTGTAGTCGAATAAGATTTGTCAAAAATTACCCAGACGCCACCTATATTATAATATGGTTTGCAATGGTACTTACTTCACATAGAACTGCTAAATTGGTACTGGCTTAATCCAATGTTGCCTTGTGCATCACGTATAATCACACCTTTAATAACACCGAGTACATCATGTGGTTCAGGCATCGATAGTCGAGGCGCATTGCTAGGACCAGACATAAAATCACTGTTATATGTATAACATGCATAAGTTATGGTAATTTGATGATAAAGAAATTAAACAGAAAACATTTTATATAACAATTATAAACTTACGTTGGCAAAGGTATTGCAGTATGTCTCCCTGGCTGATTCCAATTGAAAGAAGCTAATTGTATTGGAACGGACTGCAATGGATTAGTTTGCGTATCCCAGCCAGCTGATGTAGATACAGTAGAGTATTGATAACTCTGGCCATTTGCTGAGGAATCTTGAGGATATTGAGGGAAATAACCAGGATAAACTTGATAATTGTATAAAGTTTAAATAAAATAGTATAAATATAAATATAAATATAAATATAAAAGATATAATAAATTTAAATAAAAGAATTAAACATTTATTACCAGAAGAATATTGTTGATCAGTTGAATAAGAGGCATAGTCATATCCTTGTTGTGGTGATTGAATAGATGGGTTGGGAACGTTAGGTGGCATAGGAGGCATCGGTGGGGCTTCATAAATCGATGGTGAAGGTTTTGGAGGGCCTATCGTTAAAGGAAGCGGTGGACCTCGATGATCTCGAGGATGCCTATTATCATCAGGCCTCCTATCATATGAATCTCTTCTTCTATCATCGTAATTTCGATGATACGAATCATCACGTCTACCCATTTGCGGTCTTTCACGATTAAAAGTTGGAGAAGGGGTAGGAGGACCACGAAAATCTTGTCTACGATCATAATCCCTACGGGGATATTCATCACGACGATCTCTATTATAATGCTCATCTCCACGACGTTCTCTATAATCCCGGTCATCACGTGCGCCCCAGTCACGTCGACGTTGGCCCTGAGCTTGATTTTGATAAGGAGCATGCCTTGGTGCACCTCGTTGTTGCCAGTAACCTCCACGATTTTGACCTCTACCTCTATTACGAGATTGGTCCATGTGTGCTGCATGGAGATTATCCATGACATCGTTTTTATTGATCTGTTCCCACAGACGAAAAACTTGGGCAAGAGCTAAATCCAATATATAAATTTTATAATATTAGATTAGTTATTTAAATAAATAGATATAAAAACTTTATTATCATATTCTTACGTTCAGATGGTTTATTAGCATCACTATCCTCAGTAGAAGGGGTATCTTGCATAACTTCATCTGGGCCGGTACTCTTCAATTTAAGTTCTTCAACAGCATCAGTAAAGTTTTTATGTAATGCAGCAGCTTCTTCAAATCTTAATTTTATTATCTGTTAAATACATTTTAAAAAGATGTTTAGTTGTCAATGATACAATGAATAAAATTAAAATCAAAAAAGGAACATAAATACCTCCGAATCAGGACTAATATCTTTCAAAGCTTCTTTTCCTCTCTGAATTAAAGTACGAGTGCTTCAGAAAAAAAACAAAATATAATTAGATGATAAACATGGCGTTACGGGTACTGTTCTTACTTCATCTAATTCGTTCAAAATTCGATCCCTTGCTGATGTTAGAACAACATCGGTACAATAGAGTTGTAAATCAGCATGTAATTTCTTTCGATCGTTTAACAACTCTTTAATATCTTCTTCAGATTTTGTCGCCAGATTTCCAGTGATATACTAGACAGCCGATCAACAACGAAAGTTTTTAACATTCCCTTTAAGATATATGGCATTTATATTGGTTTAGTATGCTAAAATTATTAGTTTTTACCTCTTTACAGCATTCCAAAAGAAGTAAATGAAGAGGTTGTGTTGATTTTTTCATTTGTGGAGGCTTTTTAGGTATAGTGACTTGAGAAGGGATTGGTGGTAGTGATGTTATGTCAGTTTTGGTAGGAGCAGATCCTTCCTTTACGGGTCCAATGGCTTGTGTCATTGAGGGAGCAGGCGTTCGGTACTGTGGAGGAGGTGTCAGATCGTAACTTTGCTGGGTACTAAAATCTATGGGACGTGGTGACAATCCTGGGGGCGGCGGTTGAACTTCTGCCATCGTTGGCGGCGCGGGTAATTGTGACTGTGTTGAATAGTATGGCGGCTGGGGTTGCCTTGGCAATGGTTGCGCATTTAGTTGATCGACATTCATCACTGAAGGTTGCGATATTGGTGATGTCGAGGAGTCAGCCATTAAACAACGCACGAAATTTATAGATATTATTTAAAAGTTAACATGTTCCTCGTGATCAAAAAAAAAAAAAGATTTCGATTTTATTGGTCGATTCTGGTGTTACTAAGTTATATGATGCAGTATTAACTATAGATGTTGGCTATCTAAAATCTGATTGGCTGCTATAAGAATTTTACAAAAAGGTTTGAATTTTATTTTTGTTTAGTTAAATAATGGTTCTGTCTGCTTATAAAGCAATAAAAAAACTTGAAACATTATCACATACATTGTGTTTAGGGATGGCAAAAATCATGATTTAAATCGATTTTTATGATTTAAAAATGATTTGCAAATGATTTAAATCATCGGAC